TGGTTTAGTCCTGGTTTAGACCTGGTTTTAGACCTGGTTTAGTCCTGGTTTAGTCCTGGTTTAGACCTGGTTTAGACCTGGTTTAGTCCCTGGTTTAGTCCTGGTTTAGACCTGGTTTAGACCTGGTTTAAGACCTGGTTTAGTCCTGGTTTAGACCTGGTTTAGTCCTGGTTTAGTCCTGGTTTAGACCTGGTTTAGTCCTGGTTTAGTCCTGGTTTAGTCCTGGTTTAGTCCTGGTTTAGACCTGGGTTTAGACCTGGTTTAGTCCTGGTTTTAGTTTTCCTGGTTTAGTCCTGGTTTAGTCCTGGTTTAGACCTGGTTTAGTCCTGGTTTAGACCTGGTTTAGACCTGGTTTAGTCCTGGTTTAGTCTGGTTTAGACCTGGTTTAGTCCTGGTTTAGTCCTGGTTTAGACCTGGTTTAGACCTGGTTTAGTCCTGGTTTAGTCCTGGTTTTAGATTTTCCTGGTTTAGTCCTGGTTTAGACCTGGTTTTAGTCCTGGTTTTAGTCCTGGTTTAGACCTGGTTTAGTCCTGGTTTAGTCCTGGTTTAGACCTGGTTTAGTCCTGGTTTAGTCCTGGTTTAGTCCTGGTTTAGACCTGGTTTAGACCTGGTTTAGTCCTGGTTTAGTCCTGGTTTTAGACCTGGTTTAGACCTGGTTTAGTCCTGGTTTAGTCCTGGTTTTGGTTTACCTGGTTTAGACCTGGTTTAGTCCTGGTTTAGTCCTGGTTTAGACCTGGTTTAGACCTGGTTTAGTCCTGGTTTAGTCCTGGTTTAGACCTGGTTTAGACCTGGTTTTAGACCTGGTTTAGTCCTGGTTTAGTCCTGGTTTAGACCTGGTTTTAGTCCTGGTTTAGTCCTGGTTTAGACCTGGTTTTAGTCCTGGTTTAGTCCTGGTTTAGTCCTGGTTTAGTCCTGGTTTTAGACCTGGTTTAGTCCTGGTTTAGTCCTGGTTTAGTCCTGGTTTAGACCTGGTTTAGTCCTGGTTTAGTCCTGGTTTAGTCCTGGTTTAGACCTGGTTTAGTCCTGGTTTAGTCCTGGTTTAGTCCTGGTTTTAGTCCTGGTTTAGTCCTGGTTTTAGTCCTGGTTTAGTCCTGGTTTAGTCCTGGTTTAGTCCTGGTTTAGACCTGGTTTAGACCTGGTTTTAGTCCTGGTTTTAGTCCTGGTTTAGACCTGGTTTAGACCTGGTTTAGTCTGGTTTAGTCCTGGTTTTAGACCTGGTTTTAGACCTGGTTTAGTCCTGGTTTAGTCCTGGTTTAGACCTGGTTTAGACCTGGTTTAGTCCTGGTTTAGTCCTGGTTTAGACCTGGTTTAGACCTGGTTTAAGTCCTGGTTTAGTCCTGGTTTTAGTCCTGGTTTAGACCTGGTTTAGTCCTGGTTTAGTCCTGGTTTAGACCTGGTTTAGTTTAGACCTGGTTTAGTCCTGGTTTAGTCCTGGTTTTAGACCTGGTTTAGACCTGGTTTAGACCTGGTTTAGTCCTGGTTTAGACCTGGTTTAAGTCCTGGTTTAGTCCTGGTTTAGAACCTGGTTTAGTCCTGGTTTAGTCCTGGTTTAGTCCTGGTTTAGTCCTGGTTTAGACCTGGTTTAGACCTGGTTTAGTCCTGGTTTAGTCCTGGTTTTAGTCCTGGTTTAGTCCTGGTTTAGACCTGGTTTAGTCCTGGTTTAGACCTGGTTTAGACCTGGTTTAGTCCTGGTTTAGTCCTGGTTTAGACCTGGTTTAGTCCTGGTTTACCTGGTTTAGTCCTGGTTTAGTCCTGGTTTAGACCTGGTTTAGACCTGGTTTTAGTCCTGGTTTAGGTCCTGGTTTAGTCCTGGTTTAGACCTGGTTTAGTCCTGGTTTAGTCTGGTTTAGTCCTGGTTTAGACCTGGTTTAGACCTGGTTTAGTCCTGGTTTAGTCCTGGTTTAGACCTGGTTTAGACGCTGGTTTAGTCCCTGGTTTAGTCCTGGTTTAGACCTGGTTTAGACCTGGTTTTAGTCCTGGTTTTAGTCCTGGTTTAGACCTGGTTTAGACCTGGTTTAGACCTGGTTTAGTCCTGGTTTAGTCCTGGTTTAGACCTGGTTTAGTCCTGGTTTTAGTCCTGGTTTTAGACCTGGTTTAGACCTGGTTTAGTCCTGGTTTTAGTCCTGGTTTAGTCCTGGTTTAGACCTGGTTTAGACCTGGTTTAGTCCTGGTTTAGTCCTGGTTTTAGTCCTGGTTTTAGACCTGGTTTAGTCCTGGTTTAGTCCTGGTTTTAGACCTGGTTTAGTCCTGGTTTAGACCTGGTTTAGTCCTGGTTTAGTCCTGGTTTAGACCTGGTTTAGTCCTGGTTTAGACCTGGTTTAGTTTAGTCCTGGTTTAGTCCTGGTTTAGTCCTGGTTTAGTTTTCCTGGTTTAGTCCTGGTTTAGACCTGGTTTAGTCCTGTTTAGTGGTTTAGTCCTGGTTTAGTCCTGGTTTAGTCCTGGTTTAGACCTGGTTTAGACCTGGTTTAGTCCTGGTTTAGACCTGGTTTAGTCCTGGTTTAGTCCTGGTTTAGTCCTGGTTTTAGACCTGGTTTAGTCCTGGTTTAGTCCTGGTTTAGTCCTGGTTTAGTCCCTGGTTTAAGTCCTGGTTTAGTCCTGGTTTAGTCCTGGTTTAGACCTGGTTTAGTCCTGGTTTAGACCTGGTTTACCTGGTCCTGGTTTAGTCCTGGTTTAGTCCTGGTTTAGACCTGGTTTTGGTTTAGTCCTGGTTTAGTCCTGGTTTAGTCCTGGTTTAGTCCTGGTTTAGACCTGGTTTAGTCCTGGTTTAGACCTGGTTTAGTCCTGGTTTAGTCCCTGGTTTAGACCTGGTTTAGTCCTGGTTTAGTCTGGTTTAGTCCTGGTTTAGTCCTGGTTTAGTCCTGGTTTAGACCTGGTTTTAGACCTGGTTTAGTCCTGGTTTAGACCTGGTTTAGTCCTGGTTTAGTCCTGGTTTAGTCCTGGTTTAGTCCTGGTTTAGTTCCTGGTTTAGACCTGGTTTACCTGGTTTAGTCCTGGTTTAGTCCTGGTTTAGTCCTGGTTTAGACCTGGTTTAGTCCTGGTTTAGTCTGGTGGTTTAGACCTGGTTTAGACCTGGTTTAGTCCTGGTTTTAGACCTGGTTTAGACCTGGTTTTAGTCCTGGTTTAGACCTGGTTTAGTCCTGGTTTTAGTCCTGGTTTAGTCCTGGTTTAGTCCTGGTTTAGTCCTGGTTTAGTCCTGGTTTAGTCCTGGTTTAGTCCTGGTTTAGTCCTGGTTTAGTCCTGGTTTTAGTCCTGGTTTAGACCTGGTTTAGTCCTGGTTTAGTCCTGGTTTAGTCCTGGTTTAGTCCTGGTTTAGACCTGGTTTAGTCCTGGTTTAGACGCTGGTTTAGTCCTGGTTTAGACCTGGTTTAGACCTGGTTTAGTCCTGGTTTAGTCCTGGTTTAGACCTGGTTTAGTCCTGGTTTAGTCCTGGTTTAGTCCTGGTTTAGACCTGGTTTAGTCCTGGTTTAGTTTAGTCCTGGTTTAGTCCTGGTTTAGTCCTGGTTTAGACCTGGTTTAGTCCTGGTTTAGTCCTGGTTTAGACCTGGTTTAGACCTGGTTTAGTTAAGTCCTGGTTTAGTCCTGGTTTAGTCCTGGTTTAGTCCTGGTTTAGACCTGGTTTAGTCCTGGTTTAGTCGTCCTGGTTTAGTCCTGGTTTAGACCTGGTTTAGTCCTGGTTTAGTCCTGGTTTAGTTTAGTCCTGGTTTAGTCCTGGTTTAGTCCTGGTTTAGACCGTCCTGGTTTAGTCCTGGTTTAGACCTGTTAGTGGTTTAGTCCTGGTTTAGTCCTGGTTTAGACCTGGTTTAGTCCTGGTTTAGTCCCTGGTTTAGTCCTGGTTTAGACCTGGTTTAGTCCTGGTTTAGTCCTGGTTTAGTCCTGGTTTAGACCTGGTTTAGTCCTGGTTTAGTCCTGGTTTAGTCCTGGTTTAGTCCTGGTTTAGACCTGGTTTAGTCCTGGTTTAGTCCTGGTTTAGTCCTGGTTTAGTCCTGGTTTAGTCCTGGTTTAGTCCTGGTTTAGTCTGGTTTAGTCCTGGTTTAGTCCTGGTTTAGACCTGGTTTAGGTTTAGTCCTGGTTTAGGTTTAGTCCTGGTTTAGTCCTGGTTTAGTCCTGGTTCTGGTTTAGTCCTGGTTTAGTCCTGGTTTAGTCCTGGTTTAGTCCTGGTTTAGACCTGGTTTAGTCCTGGTTTAGTCCTGGTTTAGTCCTGGTTTAGACCTGGTTTAGTCCTGGTTTAGACCTGGTTTAGTCCTGGTTTAGTCCTGGTTTAGTCCTGGTTTAGTCCTGGTTTAGTCTGGTTTAGTCCTGGTTTAGTCCTGGTTTAGTCCTGGTTTAGTCCTGGTTTAAGACCTGGTTTACCTGGTTTAGTCCCCTGGTTTAGTCCTGTTTAGTCTGGTTTAGTCCTGGTTTAGACCTGGTTTAGTCCTGTTTAGTCCTGGTTTAGTCCTGGTTTAGACCTGGTTTAGACCTGGTTTTAGTCCTGGTTAGTCCTGGTTTAGCCTGGTTTACCTGTTTAGTCCTGGTTTAGTCCTGGTTTAGTCCTGGTTTAGTCCTGGTTTAGTCCTAGACCTGGTTTAGTCTGGTTTAGTCCTGGTTTAGTCCTGGTTTAGACCTGGTTTACCTGGTTTACCTGGTTTAGTCCTGGTTTAGGACCTGGTTTAGTCCTGGTTTCCTGGTTTAAGTCCTGGTTTAGTTCCTGGTTTATCCTGGACCTGGTTTAGTCCTGGGTGGTTTAGTCCTGGTTTAGTCCTGGTTTAGTCCTGGTTTAGACCTGGTTTGGTTTAGTCCTGGTTTAGTCCTGGTCCTGGTTTAGACCTGGTTTAGTCCTGGTTTAGTCCTGGTTAGTCCTGGTTTAGTCCTGGTTTAGTCCCTGGTTTAGACCTGGTTTAGTCCTGGTTTAGTCCTGGTTTAGACCTGGTTTAGTCCTGGTTTAGTCCTGGTTAGTCCCTGGTTTAGTCCTGGTTTAGTCCTGGTTTAGTCCTGGTTTAGACACAGACTCTGGAGACGTGTGAACAGAGGAAAGTTTATTGTTTCATAACTTCTTTTCGTTCCATTTGATATAAACTTTGTACAGGACAAAATGATTCAGAAACTTAGAAAATTCAGAACATCGATACAAACAGCGAGAAACTCGTCTACAGGTCCAGGAATCTAACCCCCAACCTGAGCTCAGAGCGCCGGGCGCCACGCCCACGACACGAGGAGACGAGGAGGCGAGGAGGCGAGGAGACGACAACGAGGGCGCCACGCCGAGGACACGAGGAGACGAGGAGGCGACACCGAGGTGGCGAGGACGCGAGGAGACGAGGGCGCGAGGAGGCGAGGAGACGAGGGCGCGAGGAGACGAGGGCGCGAGGAGGCGGTGAGGCGAGGGCGCGAGGAGGCGAGGAGACGAGGGCGCGAGGAGGTGAGGAGACGAGGGCGCGAGGAGGCGGTGAGGCGAGGGCGCGAGGAGGCGGTGAGGCGAGGAGGTGAGGAGATGAGGAGGTGAGGAGGCGAGGGCACGAGGAGGTGGTGAGGCGAGGAGCGAGGGCGCGAGGAGGCGAGGAGCGAGGAGGCGAGGAGGCGAGGAGGCGAGGGGACACGGGGACCCCGTGAGCCGGGAGACACGTCCAGATCTGAACAGGACGAATGTGAAAGTCCAAACCCCAGGGTCATGAAGGACGGGTCAAAGGTCAAAGGTCAAAGGTCAGGCTATAGTCACGTTTCCGTCACAAACAGGACGACGTTTGGAAATGTCCAGAAGTTTGATCTCTGTGACGTCGGCGTGAGTCGAGTCAGAGGGAGGAGCCGTGCGTTTACACAAACTCAACTCACTTCCTGTTTGGCGCAGCGTTGGTTGTTTGGTCTCGTGGCGGCGGCGCCGTCGCTCTGAGCACAAACACAGACTGAAATGACGAGACCCTCAGGTCAAAGTGCACTTAGTGTGGGCGGAGCCGTGCTGCGTCCGGGCGGGGCCGACGCCGGGGGCCCGTCTGGGGGCGGGCCGACGCCGGGGGCCCCGTCTGGGGGCGGGGCCGACGCCGGGGGCCCGTCTGGGGGCGGGGCCGACGCCGGAGAGCGCCACCTGCTGATGACCTCTGACCCTGTGAATGCAGCACAGGCTCCGCCCCTTTTAACCTCAGACAGAGGGGGCGGGGCTATCACCATGACGCAGAACATGATTGGTCACAGATTTCCTTTTGTTTTCGTCCTTTAAACACAAAATTAATGCCACATTTTGAAACTTTGAGTCAGATTTGAACCATAAACCAGATTCACACACAGAGACACAGAGTCCACGAGCCAATCTGCCCCCGCGGGGTCACAGAGACGGGGTTTACCCCCGCGGGTCACAGAGACGGGGTCACAGAGACGGGGTTTACTGTGGGGGATTTCCTGTCATGTTTAAATCTGTTCTTTTTGTCGTTTTGATTTTCGCCCAAAATCGTCACATCAGGTTTGTCCAGTTGCCGTGTACAGTGTTTTGTGGGGGCGGAGCCTCGTACAGGCTCGTACTGCTGACTGTAAGGAGGGTTTGAGTAGGGCCCAGGAGAGATCTCTAAATGATTCAGACATGGACGACTCTAGAACCTGTTCAGTGTTTGTGATTTGGGAACGAGGAAAAAGACAAATAAAGAAGAAAGAATCCCCGACTTTAAACCACACAGCGGCGGCCATTTTGAGACAGCGGCGGCCATTTTGAGACAGCGGCGTTTGGCGGCAGACATTTTGTGCTTTGAGCGTGTTCAGGTTTATGGCTCGATCAGAAAAGTTCCACAGACATGCTTTAAATCTGTATGTACAGGGACAAGGGCAGGGGGACAGGTGCAAGGGGACAGGTGCGTCTCTCGGGGGCAGGGGACAGGTGCAGGGGGACAGGTGCGTCTCTCGGGGGGGGGGGGGGGGGGGGGGGGTACAGCATGTGAAAGTCTAAACCAGGACGCAGGATTTGGCCAGAGAAAAGTTTGTACAAGATTCAACATAAAAAATAAAACATGTAAAACGACTAAAAGTTAAAACGTAAAGGAGAAGAGAGGAAGAAGGAGAAGAGAGGAAGAAGGAGAAGAGAGGAAGAAGGAGAAGAGAGGAAGAAGGAGAGGATGGAGAGAGGGACAGTAAACTAGAGGGCGGAGGAGGAGGAGCAGATTTTTCTCTCTCAGACCTCGGGGACGGAGGGACGGATGGAGGGAGGAGGACGGATGGAGGAGGAGGGATGGAGGGATGGAGGGGGAGGAAGGGATGGAGGGAGGAGGAGGGATGGAGGGAGGAGGAGGGATTGGAGGATGGAGGAGGGATGGAGGGAGGAGGGGGAGGGAGGGAGGAGGAGGAGGGAGGAGGAGGGAGGGAGGAGGAGGAGGAGGGGGAGGAGGGATGGAGGGAGAGGAGGGAGGAGGGAGGTGGAGGGAGGGGGAGGAGGGATGGAGGAGGAGGGATGGAGGGGATGGAGGAGGGATGGAGGGGGAGGAGGGATGGAGGGAGGAGGAGGGATGGAGGGATGGAGGAGGGATGGAGGGAGGAGGAGGGATGGAGGAGGAGGGATGGAGGGATGGAGGAGGGATGGAGGGAGGAGGAGGGATGGAGGGAGGAGGAGGAGGAGCAGATCTCTCTCGTTCCTCAGACCTCGGGGACAGAGTGGTCCATGGCCGACCGCAGCAAACCAGTGGACATCCTGAAACACAAACACAAGAACATCAAGAACCACATGGGGCAACTGGGGCAGTCTGGGGCAGTCTGGTGTAGTCTGGGGCAGTCTGGGGCAGTCTGGGGCAGTCTGGGGCAGTCTGGGGTAGTCTGGGGCAGTCTGGGGCAGTCTGGGGCAGGCATGCAGTCTGGGGCAGTCTGGGGCAGTCTGGGGCAGTCTGGGGCAGTCTGGGGTAGTCTGGTGTAGTCTGGGGCAGTCTGGGGCAGTCTGGGGGCAGTCTGGTGTAGTCTGGGCAGCTGGGGTAGTCTGGGGCAGTCTGGTGTAGTCTGGGTAGCAGTCTGGGGCAGTCTGGGGCAGTCTGGGGGCAGTCTGGGGCAGTCTGGGGCAGTCTGGGGTAGTCTGGGGCAGTCTGGTGTAGTAGTCTGGGGCAGTCTGGGGCAGTCAGTCTGGTGTAGTCTGGGGCAGTCTGGGCAGTCTGGGTAGTCTGGGGCAGTCTGGGGCAGTCTGGGTAGTCTGGGTAGTCTGGGGCAGTCTGGTGTAGTCTGGGGCAGTCTGGTGTAGTCTGGTGTAGTGTGGGGCAGTCTGGGGCAGTCTGGGTGTAGTCTGGTGTAGTCTGGTGTAGTCTGGTGTAGTCTGGTGTAGTCTGGGCAGTGTGGGGCAAGTCTGGTGTAGTCTGGGTGGTCTGTCTGTGTCTGGGTAGTCTGGGGTAGTCTGGTGTAGTCTGGTGTAGGGTAGTCTGGTGCAGTAGTCTGGTGTAGTCTGGTGTGTAGTCTGGTGTAGTCTGGGGTCTGGTGTAGTCTGGTGTGGGGCAGTCTGGGGCAGTCTGGGTGTAGTCTGGTGTAGTCTGGTGTAGTCTGGTGTAGTCTGGGGCAGTGTGGGGGCAGTCTGGTGTAGTGTGGGGCAGTCTGGTGTAGTTGGGGCAGTCTGGGGCAGTCTGGGGTAGTCTGGTGTAGTCTGGTGTAGTCTGGGGCAGTCTGGTGTAGTCTGGTGTAAGTCTGGGGCAGTCTGGGCAGTCTGGGCAGTCTGGGGCAGTCTGGGTAGTCTGGTGTAGTCTGGTGTAGTGTGGGCAGTGTGGGGCAGTGGGGCAGTCTGGGCAGTCTGGGGTAGTCTGGTGTAGTCTGTCTGGGCAGTCTGGGTGTAGTCTGGTGTAGTCTGGGGCAGTCTGGTGTAGTCTGGTGTAGTGTGGGCAGTTTGGTGTAGTCTGGGGCAGTCTGGGGCAGTCTGGGGCAGTCTGGGGCAGTCTGGGGCAGTCTGTGTAGTCTGGGGCAGTCTGGTGTAGTCTGGGGCAGTCTGGGGCAGTCTGGGGCAGTCTGGGGCAGTCTGGGTGTAGTCTGGGGTAGTCTGGTGTAGTCTGGTGTAGTCTGGGGCAGTCTGGGGCAGTCTGGGGCAGTCTGGGGCAGTCTGGTGTAGTCTGGTGTAGTCTGGTGTAGTCTGGGCAGTCTGGGGTAGTCTGGGGCAGTCTGGGGCAGTCTGGGCAGTCTGGTGTAGTCTGGGCAGTCTGGGGTAGTCTGGGGCAGTCTGGGGCAGTCTGGGGCAGTCTGGGGTAGTGGGGTAGTCTGGGGCAGTCTGGGCAGTCTAGTCTGGGGCAGTCTGGGGCAGTCTGGGGTAGTCTGGTTGTAGTCTGGGGCAGTCTGGGGCAGTCTGGGGCAGTCTGGGGGCAGTCTTGTAGTCTGGGGTAGTCTGGGGCAGTCTGGTGTAGTCGGGGCAGTCTGGGGCAGTCTGGGGTAGTCTGGGGCAGTCTGGGGCAGTCTGGGGCAGTCTGGGGCAGTCTGGGTAGTCTGGGGGCAGCTGGGGCGTCTGGTGTAGTCTGGGGCAGTCTGGGGTAGTCTGGGGCAGTCTGGTGTAGTCTGGCAGTCTGGGTTCTGGGGCAGTCTGGGGTAGTCTGGTGTAGTCTGGGGCAGTCTGGGGCAGTCTGGGGCAGTCTGGGAGTCAGTCTGGGCAGTCTGGGGTAGTCTGGGTAGTCTGGGGCAGTCTGGGGAGTCTGGGGAGTCTGGTGTAGTGTAGTCTGGGGCAGTCTGGGGTAGTCTGGGGCAGTCTGGGCAGTCTGGGGCAGTCTCGGGGCAGTCTGGGGCAGTCTGGGGCAGTCTGGGGCAGTCTGGGGCAGTCTGGGGCAGTCTGGGTAGCAGTCTGGGGCAGGGGCAGTCTGGGGCAGTCTGGGGCAGTCTGGGGCAGTGGGGCAGTCTGGGGTCTGGGGCAGTCTAGTCTGGGGCAGTCTGGGGTAGTCTGGGGCAGTCTGGGGTCTGGGGCAGTCTAGTCTGGGGCAGTCTGGGGCAGTCGGGGCAGTCTGGGGGTAGTCAGTCTGGGGCAGTCTGGGGCAGTCTGGGTAGTCTGGGGCAGTCTGGGCAGTCTGGGCAGTCTCAGTCTGGGGAGTCTGGGTAGCTGGGGGCAGTCTGGGGTAGTCTGGGGCAGTCTGGGGCAGGGGGCAGTCTGGAGTCGGGGAGTCTGGGGCAGTCTGGGGCAGTCTGGGCAGTCTGGGGCAGTTTTGGGGCAGTCTGGGGCAGTCTGGGGCAGTCTGGGCAGTTGGGGCAGTTGGGGTAGTCTGGGGCAGTCTGGGGCAGTCTGGGGCAGTCTGGGGCAGTCTGGGGCAGTTTGGGGCAGTCTGGGGCAGTCTGGGGCAGTCTGGGGCAGTCTGGGGCAGTCTGGCACGGTCTGGGCAGTATTTACCTCTTGATCATGTGTTCGTAGATGAACTTGGGCATGATGGTGATGGTCATGGCGCTGGGAGACGTGCTCAGGATGTCTTTAATCTGAGAGTCCTGAAACATCACAAAAGGACTTTAGTTTGACCTCCTCCACCCCGTGTAGAACCCACCCCCCATACGCCACCCGCAGAACCTTGAGCCCCTCTAGAACCCGCCCCAGCCCCCCCCCGCAGAGCTGCGTTCTGACCTTGAGTCCGATGACGTTCTGCCCGTTGATCTCACAGATGTGGTGGTCGGTCAGGAGCCCGTTCCGAGCGGCAGAACCGTCTTTGACCAAAGACGTGATTTTACCGTTTTTATAGATGAAGCCCACGTGTCCTGAGCTGTCCTTGTGCATGGTGACGGTGCGCTGGAACGGC